CTGGGCCAATTGTGCGCCGCCCCATGGGTCTCCCGGTCGCGGCCGGCTACGACAGAGCCTGGACACAACGCCATACACGTGGTCTGCGGTTGTGATGCGAGTTGGATGTACTGCCAAATTCTCTAAAACAACGTTGGAAGCGGCTTATGGTAGAGAAATAAACATTAAATTCTCTGGCAACAGTTCTGGTGAACATTCCTGCAGTCAGCATGCGAATTGCACGCTTCCTCAACTTGAGACATCTGTGGCATTGTTTTGTGTGACAAAACTGTACATTTTAGTGGCCTTTTATTGTCTCCAACACAAGGTGCACCTGTGTAATGATCATGCTGTTTAGTCAGATTCTTGATATGCCACACCTGTCAGGTGGATGGATTATCTTGGCAAAGGAGAAATGCTCCCTATGGACGTAAATTAATTTGCGCATCAAATTTGAGAAGGTTTTTGTGTGAATGGAACATTTCTGGGATCTTTTATTTCAGCTCATGAAACATGGGACCAACACTTTACATGTTGCGTTTATATTTTTGTTCAGTGTGTGTGATATATATATGTGTGTGTGTGTACACAACAGTCTCAACGTCAACAGTGAAGAGGCGACTCCGGGATGCTGACTTTCTAGGCAGAGTTGCAAAGAAAAAGCCGTATCTCAGACTGCCCTTCTTAATCTTTTCTTTTTATTGGCCATTCTGAGACATGGCTTTTTCTTTGCAACTCTGCCTAGAAGGTCAGCATCCCGGAGTCGCATCTTCACTGTTGACGTTGAGACTGGTGTTTTGCGGGTACTATTTAATGAAGCTGCCAGTTGAGACAGTTTGCGTTGTTCTGTGAAGGGAGTAGTACACAGAGTTGTACGAGATCTTCAGTTTCTTGGCAATTTCTCACATGGAATAGCCTTAATTTCTCAGAACAAGAATAGACTGACGAGTTTCGGAAGAAAGTTATTTGTTTCTGGCCATTTTGAGGCTGTAATCAAACCCACAATTGCTGATGCTCCAGATAATATAATAATATGCCATTTAGCAGACGCTTTTATCCAAAGCGACTTACAGTCATGTATGCATACAGATACTCAACTAGTCTCAAGAAGGCCAGTTTTATTACTTCTTTCATCAGCACAACAGTTTTCAGCTGTGCTAACATAATTGCAAAAGGGTTTTCTAATGATCAATTAGCCTTTTTTTAAATGATAAACTTGGATTAGCAAACACAACGTGCCATTGGAACACAGGACTGATGGTTGCCTGATAATGGGCTTCTGTACGCCTATGTAGATATTCCATTAAAAATCAGCCGTTTCCAGCTACAATAGCCATTTACAACATTAACAATGTCTACACTGTATTTCTGATCAATTTGATGTTATTTTAATTGGCTGAAAAATTGCTTTTCTTTCGAAAACAAGGACATTTCTAATTGACCCCAAACTTTTAAACGGTAGTGTATGTATATAACATCCCTGGCCCGCAAGATGATAGTGAAGGGCTAGTTAAATGGAATAATAAGGGATAATAAGGCAAATGGAAGAAACACAAAATAACTGTCAATCTCCCTCGGCCTGGGGCTCCATGCAAGATCTCACCTCGTGGAGTTGCAATGATCATGAGAACGGTGAGGAATCAGCCCAGAACTACACGGGAGGATCTTGTCAATGATCTCAAGGCAGCTGGGACCATAGTCACCAAGAAAACAATTGGTAACACACTACGCCGTGAAGGACTGAAATCCTGCAGCGCCCACAAGTTCCCCCTGCTCAAGAAAGCACATATACAGGCCCGTCTGAACTTTGCCAATGAACATCTGAATGATTCAGAGGAGAACTGGGTGAAAGTGTTGTGGTCAGATGAGACCAAAATCGAGCTCTTTGGCATCAACTCAACTCGCCGTGTTTGGAGGAGGAGGAATGCTGCCTATGACCCCAAGAACACCATCCCCACCGTCAAACATGGAGGTGAAAACATTATGCTTTGGGGGTGTTTTTCTGCTAAGGGGACAGGACAACTTCACCACATCAAAGGGACGATGGACGGGGCCATGTACCGTCAAATCTTGGGTGAGAACCTCCTTCCCTCAGCCAGGGCATTGAAAATGGGTCGTGGATGGGTATTCCAGCATGACAATGACCCAAAACACACGGCCAAGGCAACAAAGGAGTGGCTCAAGAAGAGGCACATGAAGGTCCTGGAGTGGCGTAGCCAGTCTCCAGACCTTAATCCCATAGAAAATCTGTGGAGGGAGCTGAAGGTTCGAGTTGCCAAACGTCAGCCTTGAAACCTTAATGACTTGGAGAAGATCTGCAAAGAGGAGTGGGACAAAATCCCTCCTGAGATGTGTGCAAACTTACATTTACATTTACATTTTAGTCATTTAGCAGACGCTCTTATCCAGAGCGACTTACAGTTAGTGATTACATTTTTTTATTTTATTTTTTTATACTGGCCCCCCGTGGGAATCGAACCCACAACCCTGGCGTTGCAAACGCCATGCTCTATCAACTGAGCTATATCCCTGCCGGCCATTCCCTCCCCTACCCTGGACGACGCTGGGCCAATTGTGCGCCGCCCATGAGTCTCCCGGTCGCGGCCGGCTGCGACAGAGCCTGGATTCGAACCAGGATCTCTAGTGGCACAGTTAGCACTGCGATGCAGTGCCTTAGACCACTGCGCCACTCAGGAGTACAACTTGGTGGCCAACTACAAGAAACGTCTGACCTCTGTGATTGCCAACAAGGGTTTTGCCACCAAGTACTAAGTCATGTTTTGCAGAGGGGTCAAATACTTATTTCCCTCATTAAAATGCAAATCAATTTATAACATTTTTGACATGCGTTTTTCTTGATTTTTTTGTTGTTATTCTGTCTCTCACTGTTCAAATAAACCTACCATTCAAATTATAGACTGATCATGTTTTGTCAGTGGGCAAACGTACAAAATCAGCAGGGGATCAAATACTTTTTTCCCTCACTGTACATACACACACACATGCATACACACACATATGCACACACATATACACATTTACACACATACATTTTCTTATCATAGTCTCTCTCCTCCCTAAATTCCTCAGTTATCTTGGTTTCTCAGTTGCCTGTAGACAGTTCTCCTTGTCCTTTGTTGTCTGGCCTAACTCTTACTCACATTGCTAAATAGTAGCACAATGTCATAATCTTTACTGGTCCTACACTCACACATTACCAGGTAGTAGATTCTAACACATCTCACACAATTTCAGAGTGTAATAATTAGTCACTACTAAGAAAGTACTAATCATACTTAAAACAAGAACATTTCACAACTATATTTAAGGGTGGAACATTTAGTCATTACTTTTAACCTATATATTTTCATTCCTATATCAGTCCCCCTGCACAAGAAAGCACATATACATGCCCGTCTGAAGTTTGCCAATGAACATCTGAATGATTCAGAGGAGAACTGGGTGAAAGTGTTGTGGTCAGATGAGACCAAAATGGAGCTCTTTGGCATCAACTCAACTCGCTGTGTTTGGAGGAGGAGGAATGCTGCCTATGACCCCAAGAACACCATCCCCACCGTCAAACATGGAGGTGGAAACATTATGCTTTGGGGGTGTTTTTCTGCTAAGGGGACAGGACAACTTCACCGCATCAAAGGGACGATGGACGGGGCCATGTACCGTCAAATCTTGGGTGAGAACCTTCTTCCCTCAGCCAGGGCATTGAAAATGGGTCTTGGATGGGTATTCCAGCATGACAATGACCCAAAACACATGGCCAAGGCAACAAAGGAGTGGCTCAAGAAGAAGCACATTAAGGTCCTGGAGTGGCCTAGCCAGTCTCCAGACCTTAATCCCATACAAAATCTGTGGAGGTTAGCTGAAGGTTCGAGTTGCCAAACGTCAGCCTCGAAACCTTAATGACTTGGAGAAGATCTGCAAAGAGGAGTGGGACAAAATCCCTCCTGAGATGTGTGCAAACCTGGTGGCCAACTACAAGAAACGTCTGACCTCTGATTGCCAACAAGGGTTTTGCCACCAAGTACTAAGTCATGTTTTGCAGAGGGGTCAAATACTTATTTCCCTCAATAAAATGCAAATCAATTCATAATATTTTTGACATGCATTTTTCTGGATTTTTTTGTTGTAATTCTGTCTCTCACTGTTCAAATAAACCTACCATTTAAATTACTGATCATTTCTTTGTCAGTGGGCAAACGTACAAAATCAGCAGGGGATCAATTACTTTTTTCCCTCACTGTAAGTATTCAGACCCTTTGCTATGAGACTCGAAATTGAGCTCATGTGCATCCTGTTTCCATTGATGTGGTCCTCTGTAGCTCAGCTGGTAGAGCACGGCGTTTGTAACGCCAAGGTAGTGGGTTCGATCCCCGGGACCACCCATACACAAAAATGTATGCACGCATGACTGTAAGTCGCTTTGGATAAAAGCGTCTGCTAAATGGCATATTATATATTATTATATTATGTAGATATTCCATTAAAAATCAGCCGTTTTCAGCTACAATAACCATTTACAACATTAACAATGTCTACACTGTATTTCTGATCAATTTTATGTTATTTTAATGGACAAAAAAATTGCTTTTCTTTAGCAAACAAGGACATTTCTAAGTGACCCAAAACTTTTGAACAGTAGTATATCTCTTTTGTAATTGTATCAGCAAATTTAACGGTTCAATTTTCAATTCCTCAGGTAATGAAAGATCCAGTCACAAAGAGATCGAGGGGCTTTGGTTTTGTCACATACAGCTCTGTGGATGAAGTTGATGCATCAATGGAGGCTCGTCCTCATAAGGTTGATGGCCGCCAAGTGGAGCCCAAGAGAGCGGTGTCCAGAGAGGTGAGCGATGTCTGATGTGACTACAAAACATAGAAACCTCCCAGTTTCACATATGTTGGGGTGGTGCTGGAAATTATGAATATGAAGTGGATATATATTTTTTTCTCCTTTTGAGGATCTTCTGTTTTGTCTTTTGAAGTGACTGAATATTTTGAATGTCATGTGTGTTGGACAGGATTCCTCAAGGCCAGGTGCTCACACCACCGTGAAGAAGATCTTTGTGGGTGGCATCAAGGAGGACACAGAGGAGCACCACCTTAGGGACTACTTTGATCAGTTTGGCAAGATCGAAGTCATCGACATCATGACTGATAGGACCAGTGGGAAGAAGAGGGGTTTTGCCTTTGTTACATTTGATGATCATGATGCAGTTGATAGGATTGTCAGTAAGTTCTCAAGTCTACACCATTGATACAGAAAAGCTGCTATTGTGTATTTAGATGTTTTAATTTGTTTTTTCATCTCAAGTGATTTACTTATCTGTTTAACAATCTCCATTCTCTGCTTACAGTCCAGAAGTATCATACAGTGAATGGTCACAACTGTGAAGTGAGGAAGGCTTTGTCAAAGGAAGACATGAACCGGTCAGGTATGAATTGTAGCAGTTGATTCCCAACAACAACTGAAGCTTTTGACGTGATGTTGAGAAAGTGACTGACCTGTTTGACGTCTGTCTTTCAGGGCCAAGAGGTGGAAACTTTGGTAGAGGTGGCGGATATGGAGGTATGAGCACTCAAGGGCTTTTATTTCCTTTTTAACCATATTCAACCTTGTTCCACAGGGAATTAATTGACTAGTTGGTTGCCCTGGTGCAATGCAGGCTTCAAGTTAGTCTCACAGCTATAAAGATTAATATTATTTTCCAGGTGGTTTTGGTGGAGGGAGAGGAGGTGGAGGATATGGTGATAACGATGGGTACAATAACTATGGAGGCAATGGTGAGTTCTTCTCCCCTGTTTTTCTAGATATTGTAAAGGAAAATGTGGGCAATGTTGTCGGGTGGATATGCCGGTTTGTCCAAAAGCTTGACTTGTTTCCTTAGGTGGCAGCTATGGTGGAGGTCCCGGCGGGTATGGTGGCGGCAACCGGGGCTATGGCGGAGGAGGAGGAGGCAGCGGCGGCTATGGCAACCAGGGTGGCAGCTATGGAGGAGGAGGATACGACAATTACAACAATGGCGGAGGTGGTGGTGGAAGCTACAGAGGTGGTAGGTCATCCAAGCAAGGGTGTGCTGCACATATAAATAGTGCCATCACTTAGTCTGGATCGCTGTATGTGATGGATAGCTTGGATTTTAAAACGGCTGTATCTGTGTCCTCTTGCAGGTAACTACGGAGCTAGCGGTGGTGGCGGGAGCAGCAGTGGAAGTGGTGGTGGTGGTGGAGACTACAATGACTTTGGCAATTACAACAGCCAGTCGTCCTCCAGCTACGGCCCAATGAAAGGAGGTGGCGGCTATAGCGGCGGCAGTGGAGGGGGCAGGAGCAGCGGCCCATATGGTGGTGGTGGTGGTGGTGGTAAGTCCCACGTCGTTACACTTCCCCTTGAAGTTGAAGTTAATAAGAACTCAACCTAAGTCCCTGGTGTTGTAAGGGAGGAAAATATAGGCGTTTCCCTAGTAGCTAGTCCCTTGAGTTGAGCACTTACATAAGGCCTGGCCCATTCTGCAGGTGGTTACGGAGGAGGCTCCGGTGGTGGATATGGAGGGGGCTCCGGAGGCCGAAGGTTCTAGGGTCTGAGGTAAGCACTGTACTGAAAACATTTCACTAGATTGGACTGTTAAATGTAGTTTTGGAGTCCATACATTAGAGGAATTGAGATTGCCATTTCCACTATGTGGCTTCCTTGGCAGAGCCTAGTCCAAGATGCAGCATAGTTGTTTTTAGAAAACAAAGCAGACCCTTTACATGTGGCCAGTAGGCCTATGCTCGAGGGCAATCATATACCGTGATACATGTGCTGAAATTGATTATCTGAGTTCTGTGTGGGGGATCCAGCAGCAAACCTTTACTTTCACAGAATCTACCATCTATTGAGCCCCTTGGCATATATGGATTGGACTGAGTTCGAAACATCCCCCCAACTCCACACACACAATCTGCCCTCCTTGTCTTTGCTATGCAGTGCAACGGGCTTGAATTGAAGGCTTGCTCCTGGCTTTTCTCCTCTTGACCCCACTCAAATGTAGCTGATAATGACAAAAGAAGGAAGGTGCAAAAGTTTAACAATGTTGTTCCATATTGTCCAACAGGCTACAGTACTTAGGAGAGGAGAGCCAGAGAGGTGACAGGGAAAGGAAGCAGCAGGTTTACCCCCTAGATCTGCTCAGCCAAGCACAGTTGTGGCAGGTTTACATCTGCCACATGAAGAGAAATGTACAGTAGAAAAGGAAAAATCATGTGGAGAGGGAGGGAGGGAGGGGAATGGGTGGGTCTTTTTCAAACCGTTCTTGTCAAATGCTTCCCAGCAGGATTATATGATTTTGTAGTTTTGCTGTTTTTGTCTTTGTGAAGTGTAAAGCATTCCACTAAGGTTTTATGTAGGTATTTTGATTTTCCCCGCGCCCATAGGGTGTTTTTTAAGATGTAACCGCCACCAAATCAAGATGAAATAAACCGCTTTTCAGTTTTTTTTTTTACATTGTGTATTTTGATTGATGGGCTCCTGTTGATTGTGTTACATGAGATGAGTAGTTCTCAACAGATGAGTAGATGGTATGAAGTGTAATGGGAAAATCCTCAGAGTACTTGCGTTATGTTCCATATTCAGAATCAAAGCATGTCATTGTTTAGAAAAGTGAATTTTTGTTTAGATCGTTTACCTCAATGCCTATGGTGAAAATACCCTGCTTGCATACAGAGGTCAAAGGCCTTTGTGCTTCTGGGCCGCCGGGCCGGTTTCTCCCCTAAAGTTGAGCATTGTTGCCACTGGACAAAATAAAAAATTTCTTAATGGCTTTTCTGTTGGCTCATAGCTTCACAATCAATTGGAGTCTAGCTTACACACAGAACTTGAGACTAGCCAATCAATTGGAGGAGCCAGCTGAGAGGCTAGTCATTGGGAGGAACCAGCTGAGGGAGAGAAGTAGCAAGATCCCCGCGAGGAGCCAGTGAAGCAGGGGACAGCAGCAGTCTTTGAGTACAGATGGTTGCTCTTGTAAGACTAGCGAGAGGCAGCTCGAGAAAGGAAGGGGTATTTTTATATACCATACTGGTAGGTAAGAAGAGATTTTTGATCAACTCTTGTATTTGTAACACTCACATTTTTGAATATGTTAGCAGTCCATGTTACGTCTCGGTAAATTCACTAACATGGGCTCCATAGGCATTTTATTCCAGCAAAGGTATTTCAACTTAGAATAAGAGGGCTATAGATGATTTAGTAAATTAGTTAACTACCAGTGTTTTTGGTTGCCCAATTACCTGAATGATGCAAACCTTGACTGCTACTCAATTGCATTTGTGACAACATAAGTGGCCGGATATCCTCAACATTAATCACTAGATCTGGTTACACTAGTGTTGGTAGTGCATGAAAAATCTAGAATAAAGTCACTCAGTAGCACTAAAAATGTAAATATTTTCTCTAATATCGCTCTCATTTTCAGGACTGTAAGATGTCTGCACTAGTGTGCCTCTCATGCACCTTGTCTTGCACCTCTACACCTGCACTGTGATGACCAGCGGTTGCAGGACCAATCATGACACATGGGTATGCTGGATTTTTTACATGTTTAATTTTTTTGAAATGTTGCCTTGCTTTCTCTGCTTTATGTGCTGGCCAAATATCCAAATATTTAAAGATGATGTGCTTTGTGTGGTTTTAATTGCTTTAACGTTTGTCTTTCAGTGTCATTTTTAAATGGACAGAAGGGACACTACAGGAATGCTGCTGGACAGTTTTTAACTTTTGTACTAACTTGCAATAAAATGTTTTTTTTTTTTTTTAAGGATCTGTCTTTTATTGTAAAAACGTTGTTTATGAGAACTGGTATGGTTTTCCAAATGAAGTCTTGATTGTATGTTGTGCAGAGGCAGTTCATTCTGTGTAGATGGCTGTACATGGTGCAGAGGGAAATTATTTGACTTAATTGAGGTTATTACCTATTTGCTCAATGTCAAATTCCTGTGTAGGGGGTTTAACAGAAGGGGAGTAAGGAGAGGTATGAAGTAGCGGGAGCATTTTCAGACAAAGAATGCATGATATGTTGAGAAGACATGCAAGTGGGAAACCCTGCCATGGCTCATAACATGGCAAGTTCAACAGTTGACAGTTTGAACTGCTGACCATAACACACCAGTAGGCATACTGACAGTAGTTATAGTACAACTAGTCTTATAACAACAGAAGTAAAGTTTTCCTGTGTAAGGGCGTCATTCTAACAAGGAGACTTCTATTATAATTATTTTATATAGCGCTTTTAATTACAAGTAGAATCTGTTGCTTTAAAAACAAACAATTTAACTAAACAAATGTAGGGATATGGCAGTTCATTATGGCACAATAGTCTGCTTGCCTTGCTACCAGGGTCGTGGTTCAACCCTTCCAGTTCTCCTTTGCTACTATACTGAGCAAAAATATAAATCCAACAATTTCAAAGAGCAGTATTGAAATAAATTCAGTAGGCCCTAACCTATGGATTTCACATGACTGGGAATACAGATATGCATCTATTACTCACAGATGCCTTAAAAAATACAAAGTAGGGACGTGGGTCAGAAAACCGGTCAGTATCTGGTGTGACCACTCATGCAGTGCGACATATACTTCACATAGAATTGGTCAGGCTGTTGATTATGGCCTGTGGAATGTTGTCTCTTCTTCAATTGGCTGTGTGAAGTTGCTGGAAATTGGTGGGAACTGGAAAACGCTGTCGATCCAGAGCATCCCAAACATGCTCAATGGGTGACATGTCTGGTGAGTATGGCCATGGAAGAACTGGGACATTTTCAGCTTCCAGGAATTCCATTATCATGCTGAGACATGATGGGATGGTGGCGGATGAATGGCACGACAATGGGCCTCAGGATCTTGTCACGTTATCTCTGTGCATTCAAATTGCTATCAATAAAATGCAATTGTGTTGGTTGTCCGTAGCTTATGCCAGCCCATACCATAACCCCACCGCCACCATGGGGCACTACACAACGTTGCCATAAGCAAACCGCTTGCCCACACGACGCCATACACGTGGTCTGCGGTTGTGAGGCTGTTTGGACGTACTGCCAAATTCTCTAAAACAACGTTGGAGGCAGCTTATGGTAGAGAAAGGAACATTAAATTCAAAATATGAGACGTCTGTGGAATTGTGTTGTGTGCAAAACTGCACATTTTAGAGTGGCCTGTGTAATGATGATGCTGTTTAATCAGCTTCTTGATATGCCACACCTGTCAGGTCGATGGATTATCTTGGGAAAGGAGAAATGCTCACTAAAAAGGATGTAAAAATATTTGTGCACAACATTTGAGAGAAATAAGCATTTTGTGCATACAGAACATTTCTGGGATCTTTTATTTAAGCTCATGAACCATGGGACCAACACTACATGTAAAAATTTTTTTTTTTTTTTTACTTTTTAGTCATTTAGCAGACGCTCTTATCCAGAGCGACTTACAGTTAGTGAGTGCATACATTTTTCATACTGTTCATACTGTACATGTTGAGTTTATATTTTTGTTCAGTGTATGTTTGTGGCAGTGATGGCTTAATCCTAGTAGTAGGCTCCAAGGATTTTGCACCTGTCGGGCTGTATTACCGCCTGGTACAGCAATTGCATCGTCCGCAACCGCAGGGCTCTCCAGAGGGTGGTGCCCCAACGCGTCACCGGGTGCACACTGCCTGCCCACCCAATGTCACGGGAACGCCAAGAAGATAATCAAGGACCTCAGCCACCCGAGCCACTGCTTGTTCACCCCGCTACTATGCTGCAGAGAATTTTTGTCTGAAGAGTATTTTTCTCCGCTCATACAGTGGTGTAAAGTACTAAAGTAAAAATACTTTAAAGTACTACTTAAGTTGGTTTTTAGGGTATCTGTAGTTTACTTTTTACTCCATACATTTTCCCTGACACCCAAAAGTACTTGTTACATTTTGAATGCTTAGCAGGATAGGAAAATGGTCCAATTCACGCAGTTATCAAGAGAACATCCCTGGTCATTCCTACTGCCTCTGATCTGTCGGACTCACTAAACACACATACTTCATTTGTAAATGATGTTTGAGTGTTGGAGTGTGCCCCTGGCTATCTGTAAATAAAATTGAAAATAAAGTAGTGCCATCTGGTTTGCCTAATATAAGGAATTTAAAATGATTTTGATACTTAAGTATATTTTAGCAATAACATTTACTTTTGATACTTAAGTATATTTCAAACCAAATACTTTTAGACTTACTCAAGTAGTATTTTACTGGGTGACTTTTACTTGAGTCATTTTCTATTAAGGTATCTTTACTTTTACTCAAATATGACAATTGAGTACTTTTTCCACCACTGCTCATACAGGAGTAATAAATGCCTAGTGCACTAATTTGGTGGGATTTATTTTTATTTCTTTTTTTTATATTATTTTATGAATTATCAGGGGGTGCAGCAGCACCCTCAGCACCCGGACTTCTCGCGGCTGTGTACACACCATCAAAAACACTCTGACATTGCTCATCCGGATATTTTTTCTTTGTTTTATTTTTGTGATTTGTTGGGTATTACTGCACTGTTGGAGCTAGAAACACAAGCATTTCGCTGCACCTGCAATAACATCTAGAAAATAGGTGAATGCTACCAATAGCATTTGATTTGACATAATGGTTCAGGGACACGTCATCCATTCACGTATTCTACCTTGTGGCGTCAAGACATTCCGTGCTAAAGTGGCGACAAAGTCTGGGGAAATGCCCTTTGAGGACCTGATTTGACTGACGTGGAAGGCAACCATGCCTGAATGCATTTCTGTTTTGCACCAATCACAGAGAGAGTTTTGTCCCTGAATCCACGTCATCGGGTAGTAAGACAAAATGGACGCACTCAGCCTGGTATTGTAGCGCTCTCATAACATGCATTTCATACTATTTATGTTGATATTTGTCATTTGAATGTCACACTATGATATTGATGTATCAGGGGTAGTTGCCACTGTTAGCCCAACAATGCAGAAGGACACAGTTGAACTAGCTAGTTCACAGAATTAGTAGCTAGCTAGCTGGCATGTGATGACGTTGTCAGATTGCAACTGATCAGTCAGCTCCTGCCGTTCAAGTTGTTTGACATCATGTTCACTGAACAGAATACAATATTCTCTTAATCAGGAACCCACTCTGTACACCGTGAAAGCTGTCCTCATCCTTGACAATGACGGGGAAAGACTTTACGCCAAGGTAACTAGCTAATCAACAGCAATGAATTAACGACCAGTACCTGCCCCCACTGGCAATGTCCTTCGCAGCATGTCAATATTCATATAGCTACATGAGTAGATGCAATGTAGCCAACACAGTTTTGTAATTTTACATTCAGCTGACTATCTGGGTAACAAATTGTCTGTGTGCTCAAACGATTACTTATTTTGTGACACTGTCAGTGCTTGACTTGGACTGAAATAGGTTCTGGTACTCATTTTGGGTGCTGATACTGTTTATATTTAGGTGCAGGAGCTCCACAGTACTTTTTAGGTAATATTCTATAAGAGGAACATGAGCTCAAGCAGTGTAACATTTGAGGTGCAAGTATCTGCTCCGGTGAGCTCCTGCCCAAGTCAAGCACTGAACACTGTTACAGTGCCTTCAGAAAGTATTCACACCCCTTTCCTTTTCCCACACTTTGTGTTACAGCCTGAATTTAAAATGGATTCACTTGAGATTTAAAATGTTTTAAAGCTGCAATGTCTTGAGTCAAGTTTTCAACCCTTCTGTTATGGCAAGCCTAAATACATTCAGGAGTAAACATTTTCTTAACAAGTCACATAATAAGTTAAATGGACTCTGTGTGCAATAATAATGGATTAAATGATTTTTGAATGATTACCCTATCTCTGTACCCAACACATATAATTATCTCTAAGGTCCCTCAGTCGAGTTGTGAATTTCAAGCACAGATTCAACCACAATGACCAGGGAGGTTTTCCAATGCCTTGCAAAGAAGTGCACCTGTTGGTAGATGGGGGGGAAAAAATTAAAATCAGACACTGAATTTCCCTTTGAGCAGTGGTGTAAAGTACTTAAGTAAAAATGCTTTAAAGTACTACTTAAGCTGTTTTTTTGGGTATCTGTACTTTACTATTTATATTTTTGACAATTTTTACTTTTACTTCACTACATTCCTAAAGAAAATAATGTACTTGTTACTCCATACATTTTCCCTGACACCTAAAAGTACTTGTTACATTTTGAATGCTTAACAGAACAGAAAAATTGTCAAATTCACACACTTATCAAGAGAACATCATTGGTTATGCCTTACTGCCTCTGATCTGGCGGACTCACTAAACACACATGCTTCGTTTGTAAATAATGTCTGAGTGTGCCCCTGGCTATCCGCAAAAAAAATAAAAAAAATTGATGCAGTCTAGTTTGCTTTAGAAGGAATTTGAAATTATTTACACTTTTACTTTTCATAGTTAAGTATATTTTAGCAATTACATTTTCTTTTGTCTTCATATAGCTACATGAGTAGATGCAATGTTACTCAAGTAGTATTTTACTGGATGACTTTCACTTTTACTTGAGTCATTTTCTATTAAGGTATCTTTAATTGGGTACTTTTTCCACCACTGCCTTTGAGCATGGTGAAGTTATTAATTACGCTTTGGATGGGGTATCAATACTCCCAGTCACTACAAAGATACAGGTGTCCCTCCTAACTCAGTTGCTGGAAAAGAATGAAACTGCTCTGGGATTTCACCATGAGGCCAATGGTGATTTAAAAAAACGGTTAGAGTTTAATGGTTGTGATAGAACTGAGGATGGATCAACAACATTGTAGTTACTCCACAATACTAACCTAAATGACAGAGTGAAAGGAAGGTAGTCTGTACAGAATAAAAATATTCAAAAACATGCATTCTGTTTGCAATAAGGCACTAAAGTAATACTGCAAAAACTGTGGCAAAGTAATACTGCAAAAACTGTGGCAAAGAAATTAACTTTTTGTCCTGAATACAAAGCATTATGTTTGGGGCAAATCCAACACATCACTGAGTACCACTCTTCATATTTTCAAGCATGGTGATGGCTGCATCATGTTATGGATATGCTCGTCATCAGCAAGGACTAGGACATTTTTGTAGGATAAGAAGAAACGGAATAGAGCTAAGCACAGGCAAAATCCTAGAGGAAAACCTGGTTCAGTCTGCTTTCCATAGACACTGGGAGACATATTCACCTTTCAGCAGGACAGTAACCTAAAACACTGGAGTTGCTTACCAAGATGACATTGAATGTTCCTGAGTGGCCTAGTTTCAGTTGACTTAAATCAGCTTGAAAATCTATGGCAAGACTTGAAAATGGCTGTCTAGCAATGATCAACAGCCAACTTGACAGAGCTTAAGAGTTAAAAATAATAATAATGGGCAAATATTGTACAATCCAGGTGTGCAAAGCTCTTAGAGATTTACCCCAAAATACTCACAGCTGTAATCTCTGCCAAAGGGTATTCTACATGTATTGACTCAGGGGGGTTGAATACTGATCTAATCAAAATATGATTGTTTATTTTTCATTTTAAAAATCCCCAACAACAAATACATCCCAATTTGTAACACAACAAAATGTGGAATGAGTCAAGGGTGTAAATACTTTCTGAAGGCACTGTATGTGATCTCTATTTGACTTCTGCCCCACAGTACTATGATGAAACATATCCAACTGTGAAAGAGCAGAAAGCGTTTGAGAAGAACATCTTCAACAAAACACACCGCACAGACAGTAAGATGTTTTCAAACTAATGAATCGTATGCACTTCAATTTACAGTATTGTCACAGGCTTCAATACTTGCTATTTCATCTCTTGCCAAAAGCTTTGAGTGCTGATCTGTTTTCAATTGCATGAAGGCTTCTGTGTATAACTGGTATAATGAAGATATTGTATCATAGACTGAACTCTCTCTGCTTCTTTACCCAGGTGAGATAGCGCTACTAGAAGGTCTTACCGTTGTCTACAAAAGCAACATTGACCTCTACTTTTATGTTATTGGCAGTTCACATGAAAATGAGGTAGGCTGATGGTGGTATACTAACAAAACACAATGAAACATTGCATATGTTGTGATGTTTCTCACACAATACACTGATACGTTTTGCTATTTGCTCCCCCAGTTGATGCTTATGTCAGTGCTTAACTGTCTGTTTGACTCGCTCAGCCAGATGCTAAGGTAAGACTGCACTTTATTTACACTGAACAAAAATATAAACGTAACATGCAACAATTTCAAAGATTTTACTGTTACATACAGTTCATATAAGGAAATCAGTCAATTTAAATAAATTCATTAGGCCCTAATCTATGGATTTCACATGACTGACCTTAAAAAATAAATAAATGTAGGGGCGTGGATCAGAAAACCAGTCAGTATCTGGTATGACCACCATTTGCCTCATTCAACGCGACACATCTCCTTCGCATAGAGTTGATCAGGCTGTTGATTATGGCCTGTGGAATGTTGTCCTACTCCTCTTCAATGGATGTGCGAAGTTGCTGGATATTGGCGGGAACTGGAACACACGGTCTTACATGTCGATCCAGAGCATCCCAAACATGCTCAATGGGTGACATGTCTGGTGAGTATGCAGGCCATGGAAGAACTGGTACATTTTCAGCTTCCAGGAATTGTGTACAGATCCTTGCGACATGGGCCTGTGCATTTTCATGCTGAAACATGAGGTGATGGCGGCGGATGAATGCCACGACAATGGGCCTCAGAATCTCATCATGCCATCGATAAAATGCAATTGTGTTCGTTGTCCGTAGCTTATGTCTGCCCATACCATAACCCCACCTCCACCATGGGGTGCTCGCCCACATGACGCCATACACACTGTCTGCCATCTGCCCAGTACAGTTGAAACTGGGATTCATCCGTGAAGAGCACACCAGCGTGCCAGTGGCCATCGAAGGTGAGCATTTGCCCACTGAATTCAGTTATGACGCCGAACTGCAGTCAGGTCAAGACCCTGGTGAGGACGACAAGCACGCAGATGAGCTTCCCTGAGATGGTTTCTGACAGTTTGTGTAGAGATTCTTCGGTTGTGCAAACCCAGAGTTTCATCAGCTGTCCGGGTGGCTGGTCTCGGACGATACCACAGGTGAGGAAGCCGGATGTGGAGGTCCTGAGCTAGCGTGGTTACACGTAGTCTGCGGTTGTGAGGCCGGTTGGACGTACTGCCAAATTCTCTAAAACGACGTTGGAGGCGACTTATAGTAAAGAAATTAACCTGCAGTCAGCATGCGAATTGCACTCTCGAAACTTGAGAGATCTGTGGCATTGTGTTGTGTGACAAAACTGCACATTTTAGAGTTTCCTTTTATTGTCCCCAGCACAAGGTGCACCTGTGTAATTATCATGCTGTTTAATCAGCTTCTTGATATGCCACACCTGTCAAGTGGATGGATTATGTTGGCAAAGGAGAAATGCTCACTAACATGGATGTAAACAAATTTGTGCACAAAATGTGAGCGAAATAAGCTTTTTGTGCGTACATTTTTGCAATCTTTTATTTCAGCTCATGAAACTTGGGACCAACACTTTACATATTGTGTTTATATTTTTGCTCATTGTAGTTGTCGTACAGGTTGGACTATGCTGTAAGCAACTGAATGAGACATTTGTAACACTGTTTGTTAGTTTCCATAGAGAGGTCATGATGTGTGTTTAAGCTCCCGTTCTTTGTCCTCCTGCAGGAAAAATGTAGAGCGGCGGGCCTTGCTGGAGAACATGGAGGGCCTGTTCCTGGCAGTGGATGAGATCGTTGATGGGGGGTAGGTAGAGCACTCATCTCACCCCAAACCAGGGGTCTCTGGAGCTGTGTATTCTCCTCTAGTGTGTCCTTTGACTCCCTGACCAAACCAACTTTTCCATCTAGACTAGAGTACAATGATACAAGACATGGCTGGACATTCATGCCTGGATGCTGTCAAAGACAGACATCACGCTATTGGGTAGCCAAGATAAAGAGGAAGATCCATAGAGGAAGACCGGAAGCAATTCTTTGGCAACCTGGGTCGTTCCACGAAGTGATTCCCTTTGATATTTTAAGTAGAAATTGTGCACCAATATTGACTTTTCAAAGCCTGTTATATTAAATTAATTACATTTTATATAAAGACTTGCTAAAGTGCTACAATTCAGCATTTTGACATGTCCCTCTGTACACCCTCTGTGACCTAGGAATATCTGAACCCACTTAATCCCAAAACTTCTCCAGGTTTTCACCATTGTAAAGCCCTAGTTATTTTGTTGCTTTGAAAAAGTCATTTCTGAAGATTATTATTTATTTCACTTGATTAGTGATTCATTTTAAGGGAAAACAAACCTATCCCTCATTTAAAGGTAAACCATGTTATGTGAACTGAACTCTTTTTAATATAATGACACAATAAAAACTAAAAACAATTCAACATCTAATAGTCAAATCATAGTGTAAAAGCAGGTGAACTGGTTCTAACCCTTTTGGCAATTTCTGGTGTTTTGTGGTGGAAAACTGAGTGGGTCGAGCAGAACACGCCAACCCTGATACCAATAGATAGACAAGCTAGAAATGTTTTAACAATTTACATTTATTTGTGAAGCTTGCGTTCAATTGCCGCTCCCTGTTGCACACAACATGCTTCCATTCCGCCTGTCACAAAGTGATTTATGGCTGATTTAAGATGAAATCGTCAACTCTGTTACTTTATTTGACTTTACTATGGTAATTATTTTATTTAGCCTCTTGAGATGGGAAAGCAGTTTTTTTTATTAAGTTGAACATGTAATAGAATGTTAAAATTGGGTAAAATAAAACAGTTTTCTTTCACCAAGTTACACTATACAAAGGGTACTCCTTTCATGGAATGACCAACCTACCACAGATGGATTTTACCAGTTAAATACTCTATTGCATCATTTAAGGTTTCTGAGACTGGATAGGCTCTCAGCCCAATATAAATAAACCATCCTACTAGTCCATAGCTAGACGATACAATAGCCCCTTGAAGTAAGGTTATTTAGGGTTAGGGAGGATGCCCATTTTGCTTAGCATTTAGATGTCAGCCATTGAGAGTGATCTGTGCTCTTCTGTCTTCCAGAGTCATCCTGGAGAGCGACCCTCAGCAGGTGGTGTACCGTGTGGCCCTCCGAGTAAGACCATTGATCCTCTTCCTCCTCAGTCAAACACCATGGTTCTGTTATCATCGAGTACTGTGCTGCCCGGATGTCAACAACATTAAATTGATCTGGACAATTTCTCCCTCTCTCATGTTTACAGGGGGATGATGTTCCTCTAACAGAACAGACTGTGTCTCAGGTAATTGCGCTTCTTATTTACGAGAATCTCATATTACCTAGTAAACCTAACCCTAACTTGTTAAAATTGTATACAATTTATTTTAGTACTACTAATAATTAGGTAATAATTAGGTGGGTGCTTACATTTGTCTTATTTCACACATGTACAAGTGTGTATTATACACATGTGAATTGTAAATAATTGTTTTTCCTATCCCACTCTCCTTGAGACACCCTCGGAGATTGGGGTCACGGCCAGGGACCAGCCATTATTGAGAGCAACCCTGGAGCAATTAAGGTTAAGTGCCTTGCTCAAGGGCACATCAACAGATTTTTTTACCTAGTCGTCTCTGAGATTTGAACCAGCAACCTTTCAGTTACTGGCCCAATTGCTTAACCGCTAGGCGACCTGCCACCTGGTATACTGGAATTTAAACGTGTATTTGATACTAATGTGATTTGGAAATCAGTGAACAACATGGCTGAGTAATGACTAGGTGGTTTGTCAGGCTGACAATCTTAAGCACATACTGAACCTTTCTTATGCTTCCCAGCTCTTTTTATCCTTAAAATGCCCTCATTGTTCTGTTAGCTATTTCTAAAATAATTGTATTTCTCTCCAGCAGTATATTAAGCTACTACATTTAGCTTTATTGTAATGAAAAGGGAAGAGAACAGAGGGGAGCGTTCCCAGTTTAGCTGCTAATGAGGCTCCACTGTTAGCTAGGCGGTGTGTCTCCACACTTGGCAGGCTCTCTGAGCGCTACGCTGATGGATGCTCCCATCTGAGAGGCGTTTTACTGGCTGCAGGTGTCTCCTTCTCCTACTCTGTCCATTAATCGTCATCGCCAACCCTCGGCCCACATGCCTCATAATGGTTACTGAGAGACTAGTCTGCAGAATTAAAATGATTCAGTCATTGATGTATTGTTCCTGTGTGTAGAAGTATTACTGGTGTCATCACACCACCACTCTTCCCTCAAATATCACAGTAGGAAAGTCCTGGAAGCTTCCTTCATTGTTTCATACTGTATATATTTTTTCTACCTGTAGTTGGATTTTGAGGTGATGGACATTTACCTAACTATAGATTTGTCCCTTGTTATGTGTGTTGCTAACAGCTTTCATCTGCTATAAACAGTATTAGAGGGACACTTAACCAAACTGAGTTCTCCTCACTCTGTTTTTCTCTTATTTCTCTCTTTCAGGTGCTTCAGTCTGCAAAAGAACAGATCAAGTGGTCCCTACTGCGATAGGAGAGTTGTCTCTGCTGTCACATACGCACCTACCAACACTCACTCACCTGATGACATCATTCCTCTTCCTATCCATGTGTGTCCCAGAGATCATTGCACTGAAGTCTTCTGATTGAGCCACCAATCAGAACCAGCCAGGCCTACTGTGGCATTTTCTATCCTCCATTTCCTGTCTTGATTATCCATTCCCATTTGGTGGAAGATCGAGAGCTCTTATCGCCCAGGCAACATGATTTTTAGTTTTTTTGTGACTCAACTCCACACATCCTTACTGTCTCTCTAGCTATTGGTGATTCCAACCTTTTCTATTACAGTACAAACAAATGTGATCTGACCAGTATGAATCACCCATGATTGACCTATTCCTCTGGGATTTTGCCTATTTTAGTGGGCATGGTGTAGTAGCTGTTAGCGTGTTAATAATTGTATGGTATATGAAACATGGCTATTAGTAAAACACTGAGCCATCTCCTTGCCGTGCTCCTGTCTCTTTGTACACAACCTTCATTAGAGATTCCACTCAATGTGGCAACTTTTTGCTTGTGTAGATGTGCATGAAGCATACATTCTGTGATTTAAATGTGATAATTACATTGATATGCAGGTTTTCTTTACATTGTATTTCTGTTGTCGTTGTGAAAAGAACTTGGATCAAATAAACTTTATTTAAACCAGAAAACATTTGATTGGTTTCTCTTGTTTGTGGTGCAGTAAAAGGTTTGCTTGTTGGGTAAAAGGTTGTGAAGCTATATTTTGTCGCATGAGGGCAGATGCTGCAGTTGGGAGGAATTACACTGCCACCTGCTGGGAGACAAAGTCACTACAGTGCACATGTCAGAGTAGTGACAGAGGACATACTAAGATATTTAAACAATCATTCATACTGACTTGCGTCCAATCCAATGCATGTAGAAAAGTTGCTTAGCAGCAGATTCGGACATCATGCGCATGACACCTCAATAGAAAGTAGGCATGACGATCACAACAGCAGAATGATCTATCTGGTAGAATGTGTTAGATTTTAGTCATCCCTGGTGTACGGACATCAGGTACCCATTTGCTCACTGTGTGTGTGTGTGTGTTTCAAAGTGTCTAAAGTTGAGACTAAAAGTGTGTATAAGGTTTGCATACTGAGTGTGCAGAGGGTAGGGAAAGGTCACAGGGAAGCGCTGCTGCCATCCTTTTCATTTTCATCAGGGAACGTTAGTGACTCCTCCGAGCCGTCAAGGACTCATTTCTCATCGGCTAATTACCCCGGCAGAGCCATAAAGAGGCAGAGAGGTAATTTATATTGATTACACAGAAACCAGGATAATTGACTGAAATGCCACCGTTTGGCATGCTCCTATGCATTACATTCACACAGACTGGCATCATCTGAGTGTGTGTGTGTGTGTGTGTGTCTTGCAGGTTGGTGCCTGTATCTAATAACAGGGAATGTTTACAAGTGTGTGAGTTGATGTATGTCAGAGGTCTATAATTAATGCCTATGATATGTGTATTATTGACAACAGGAATGTCCTATGGTTGGAGTTCTTGTCTGTCTGTTCAGATCAGAATGAATAAAGGCAATCTTCAGCTTCTACCATGTCTTGATGTTTGCATCTGTCTGTGATTGTCCAGCCTTAAAATCTTGATTTCTGCTTGCGTAAACTCAGATAAAAAAATATACACTTACCATTTAAACTTGTGTCACCTGCACTATATACAATTAAACGATTCAGTGATCCTACACATTGATTCAGTGATCCTACATTTTGATTCAGTGACGAACAGTGAAAAGTGGGGAGGCATAGATCTTCGTTACTCAGCCCATTTGCCAAGCCAAATAAATCAAAGGTTTTGGTTGACATCACCGGATCCACCACCATTAGTCCAAACGAGATGATTGAATGGCCACGCTGTGCTATCAGGGATATTGTAGCAGGAGCCTGCCTGATTGCATTCTGCTCCCATCTGTGTTGCTGTGTTATTATGGCCCTGGAAGCTGTGCAAACCCAAGGCATGCAATAAAGGGAAGAGAAAGACATTTGTTAGGGGATGTGTTTTGGATAAACAAACCCAGAGGTGTGTGTGCGTGTGTGAAAGCAGGGTGAAATGGGATTCTGGGATTGTGTAGCAGTGTGGGCAATCGTAATGTTCAAAGCCAAGGCATAACGGTTGTTGTCAAACAGGGATTGTGCCAGTGTGTTTGTGTGTGTGTGTGTGTGTGTGTGTGTGCATGCGTGCGTGAGAGCAGGGTGAAATGGGATTTTGGGATGTTGGCAACCATAATGCCACGGCATAACGGTTGTTGTCACACAGGGATTGCGTCAGTGTGTGTGTGTGTGTACCTGTGTCGTTTTTATGAGACGTGGGCCTGGGGCCGATATGCAGCATCTCCCCGCAGTTTAAACTGTGGTTTATGATTGTGGCTGTTTCTTGTTGTTTACAGATTCTCACTGTCGTTTCGGGCCCTGGGCTGGAGAGACAGCCAAAAACAACACTGCCACCACAACATTCCTCCTCCCTCATATCCCTCCCTCCACTCATTCCACGGCTATAATTTACCACTCGAGCCACCAGGCACCCCAGTTTTACAGAACAACGTGTAGCAATACCACAAGTAGTAATGTGAACATACATTACTCTCAAATCTCATATGTGGTCGCTGTGCATGTAAATGTATTTGCTTGTAATGGTGTGAGGTTGCAGATGTACAAGTTGGTTAGACAAGAGGAAATAGCAAGCAAACTGGCCAGTTATTCCCTATTCCACCCAGAGAACTGCAGGAGCTGCTGGAGAGACAGAGGGAAAAGTAATTTACTATTGGACATAGTGGGGCAGGAAAATATAAATCTCAGTTAGTTTGAAAGATCGAGAAAGAGAGATCATACACAGACATACGATGACAATGCTACCATACCTGATGTCTACACATATCAGTCACACTCAAAATAAACGTTGTTTTTTGCATAGTGTCAGAGTAATGCTTTCTGAACTCCTGTGGAGCTACATAGCTGCACCCCACCCCAGTTAGAGTCTGGGAACCCAGAGGAAAGGAATTCCCTGCATCAAGCATGACTCTGAGACGTGAAACTAGAACATATGGGCCTCAATAATTAAAGACTGGAATTTATATTCATCATTGTGGCATTGGTGTATAAAACTCAAGGCTTCACTGCCATTATTCCATTGCATTTATATTGTATTTATTGTATTTGGCATTATTTTATTTTCTAACCCAATTCGGATTATGGTTGGTTGGAGTCTGTTATGTCTGTTCACTAATAAATGATCAAACAACAGTAGATATGTAACTGATTAGGAGATCGTGACCAACTAATGTTGAACAGAAACTCTTGTTGTTATAGTCACGAACCAGTGAGCTGTATTACATTATCTTTGTGGCTGTGATCAAACAGACAATAGTGATGGGTTTACGGTCACATCTTGTATATGATTATGGATGTGTTCTTGGATGTTATACAAAGTGAAAGCTGCCGCTCCGATGTGACTGGTTTACTGGGTCTTGCTATTTGATGGTCACATGCTCAGGCTTGTTTCTGTCATACATTCCTCCTCTCTCTGGCTCCATGCCCAGAGATCTGTTTTCATGGGACTCTAACGCAGCCAAGGGAAGAAGAGGAAGACAAAAAAAGAACACTGCCATTTGCCTATATGTTTCTCCTCTTAAAGCCACTCTCTTTTCTCCACCCCCCTCATCCTGCTCCCTGTGGATTCCCCAGCAGCAATGCAGTACCCATTAACAGAGCCCACCCCCACCTACTCAGACAGATTTACTGCCATCGCCACGCCATTGGCCGGCAAGCTGACAGAAGTGATTTAAAGCTTGCCCCTCATTGGTCCTTGCTTGACAGGCAAATTTATTGCTGCGCTACGATTCGCTGCCGCCCGCCTTTGAGGTGAATTACGGCCTTGCCTGTGATAGGACACAGAAGCAGTGTCAAGTTACTGTCGTAAAACCTGCGTCCCTGGGGGAGGGGAGCGAGGAGGGAGGGAGGGTGTGGTATGCCTGAGCCAAGACTGAAGAAGAGAGGAGAGAAAGAGAGAAAATTGAAAAAAGATGGTTATTGAGGGAGGGAGACAGAAAGAGATGAAGAGAGACAGAAAGACAGAGAGCAAGAAAGAGAGAGGGAGCGAAGGAGCATGGGTTGCTGTATCGTCCAGTCTGTTGTTATTTTCTTCTTCTGCAGCCTTTGTTAAGACACACCACCTTCTTTTGAACATCTGACACCCTCAGAATCCCCTAGGACACGACTCCAACTCATTCCACGGAGGGCCAAGTGTCTGCGGGTTTTCGCTCCACCCTTGGACTTGATGGATGAATTAAGGTCAATAATTAGTAAGGAACTCCCCTCACCTGGTTGTCTAGGTCTTAATTGAAAGGAAAAACCAAAAACCCGCAGACGCTCAGCCCTCCATGGAATGAGTTTGACACCCCTGCCCTCGGATGTGGTTTTCATACTGCCTTTATACCTCTTCAAGAGTAGAGTATTTAGTCTCATGTTATATCCTACAGTCAATCTACGGTACCAGTCTACATCAATCCTTGTGCATAAATTGTTTCTGGCCTTTCCTTACAGGACGTTCCCTTCTACACTAAAATGCCTTTGTTCCTATTCTAAAATAATAAGCTAGAAATTCAAATGAGGGAGAAAAGAAGCCGTGAAACTGCACTGCATGTTTTATAGAGGTAGAGATGAGCGCCAGGTTTTATAACTCGGGGGAGTGGAGCCGGTAAAGTGTGCATTAAAGTGTGATCAAACGCACATCCTTTAGTGGGGTGCAGGGCCGAAAATGTTTGGCATAAAATAAATAGAGCCCGCACACTCATAAGCTCCTCCACATACCTTTATTGATAAGCATACAACGTTTCGATCCTGCAAGGACCTTCGTCAAGTCATTGTGTATTACCCATGATGCACTCTGAGTTTGAACGCCTCTGTTCTTCTCCTCTCCTTCCCTTTGATTCCATTATCCAGTTATCCTCCCACTCCTTCCCTCCCTCCTGCTGCCTTCCAGCCCAGAGCCATCTCTTCTGTGGGCAGCCAGGCAGTGTATGACAGATAATATGGCAGTGGTGCGCTGTAAATGACCGTGTCGCATCGCTGATCAACAGGAGAAAACTGCCAAAGTCACCTTTACTCCCTCTCTATCTGTCTGTTGGTCAGGTTATCCTTCTGTTCAGTCTCTAACTCTCTGCAGATTAGCAACGATCCATTTGCCTGTCAGTATGTATCTTTTTCTCCATTCCTCTGTTTCTGTGGACATAACCCCAACACACTCTCTCTCTCTCTCTCTCTCTCTCTCTCTCTCTCTCTCTCTCTCTCTCTCTCTCTCTCTCTCTCTCTCTCTCTCTCTCTCTCTCTCTCTCTCTCTCTCTCTCTCTCTCTCTCTCTCTCTCTCTCTCTCTCTCTCTCTCTCTCTCTCTCTCTCTCTCTCTCTCTCTCTCTTTCCTCCTCCCTGATCACACTAGCCACCATAGGCCTTAGTCTACTCATACATTCTGACATGATGTCCAGTAGACAAACAGTTAGTGCTGTGAACTGCCAATCCGGCTCGAAGGACCAAGTAGGACTTCTATTGGGAGACGATGGGGCCCCTCATTGACCAGGAGCCCTGACTGACGGTAGGACTGACAGAGGCCAAAGCAGCTCCAGATTGATGCCGAGGCCACA